TACTACTACTAGACTACTATAATACTATACCACAACTACTGCTACTACTAACTACACTACTACTACTACTACTACTACTACTACTACTACTGCTATACTACAAACAAAACAACAACTACTATTACTACTATACTACTACTACTACTACTACTGCTATACTATACAATACTACCGATACTACTACTACTACTACTGCTACTACTACTACTAACTAACAATACTACTACTAACTACTATACAACTTACTACTATACTACTACTACTATAACTACTACTGCTACTACTTACTACTACTAACAACTACTACTACTACTACTACTACTACTCTACTACTACTACTACTACTGCTACTACTACTATACTACTATCACTGCAGCGACAGATTAAACAGTGACACGGATCAGGCAGTGACAGATTAAACAGTGACGCGGATCAGACAGTGACAGATTAAACAGTGACAGCGGATCAGGCAGTGACAGATTAAACAGTGACGCGGATCAGGCAGTGACAGATTAAACAGTGATCCGGCAGCGACGCGGATCCGGCAGGGACCTCACCTCCACGATGCTCTTCAGGTCCCTCACGTAGGCCTGCTCCGTCTCCACGATCTCCAGCGCCACTCGCTCCAAACGCGTCATCTGCCGAGGTCCCGCCCCCGCAGGCTGCTGATTGGACTGCAGCTTCCCCGTCACCATGGCGACGCCGGCTCCACTTCCTGTGCCGATGGGCGTCAGGTCCAGGCTGATGTCAGAGCCGTTTCTGTTCAAACAAAAACAAAAAAACACAAGAGTTTAATTTAAACGGCTTTAACCCTATTCTAATGAAATGTTACGCAGTGGGACTTTAAACCTGTTCCAAGTCCTATTTTAGACTTGGTTCAGTCCTGATTCAGTCCTGGTTTAGACATGGTTTAGTCCTGGTTTAGTCCTGGTTTAGACCTGGTTTAGTCCTGGTTTAGACCTGGTTTAGTTCTGGTTTAGTCCTGGTTTAGTCCTGGTCTAGTCCTGGTTTAGTCCTGGTTTAGTTCTGGTTTAGTGCTGGTTTAGTCCTGGTTTAGTCCTGGTTTAGACCTGGTTTAGTTCTGGTTTAGTCCTGGTTTAGTCCTGGTCTAGTCCTGGTTTAATCCTGGTTTAGTCCTGGTCTAGTCCTGGTTTAGTCCTGGTTTAGACCTGGTTTAGTCCTGGTTTAGTCCTGGTCTAGTCCTGGTTTAGTCCTGGTTTAGACCTGGTTTAGTCCTGGTTTAGTCCTGGTCTAGTCCTGGTTTAGTCCTGGTTTAGTCCTGGTTTAGTCCTGGTTTAGTCCTGGTTTAGTCCTGGTTTAAGTCCTGGTTTAGTCCTGGTCTAGTCCTGGTTTAGTCTGGTTTAGACCTGGTTTAGTCCTGGTTTAGTCCTGGTTTAGTCTGGTTTAGTCCTGGTTAGTCCTGGTTTAGTGGTCTGGTTTAGTCCTGGTCTAGTCCTGGTTTAGACCTGGTTTAGTCCTGGTTTAGTCCTGGTTTAGTTCCTGGTTTAGGTTTAGTCCTGGTTTAGTCTGGTTTTAGTCTGGTTTAGTCCTGGTTTAGTCCTGGTTTAGACCTGGTTTAGTTCTGGTTTAGTCCTGGTTTAGTCCTGGTTTAGTCCTGGTTTAGTTCCTGGTTTAGTCCTGGTTTAGTTCTGGTTTACCTGGTTTAGACTGGTTTAGTTTCTGGTTTAGTCCTGGTTTAGTCCTGGTCCTGGTTTAGTAGTCCTGGTTTAGTCCTGGTTTAGTCCTGGTTTAGTCTGGTTTAGTCCTGTTTACTCACTGCAGGGACGAGGACGAGGACGAGTGCGTCGCGTCCTGCAGAGACACGGACGACGAGCTGAGAGACCCTGAACGGTCCAGCTCCGAGTCCACCGAGGAACTGGACTGGACCAGGACCAGACCGGGACTGGAGCAGGACTGGACCAGGACCAGACCGGGACTGGAGCAGGACTGGACCCGGTCTGAAGAGGACATGCTCCTGCACCCCACCGAAGAGACGCCCGTCAGCGAGGACGGACGACGACTGGCTGAAAGGACAAGAGACTGAGACCAGGACCAAGACCAGGAGACCAGGACCAGACCAGGACCAGGACCAGGACCAGGACCAAGACCAGGACCAGGACCAGGACCAGGACCAAGACCAGGACCAAGACCAGGACCAGGACAAGACCAGGACCAGACCAGACCAGGACCAAGACCAGGACCAGGACCAGGACCAGGACCAGACCAAGACCAGGACCAAGACCAGGACCAAGACCAGGACCAAGACCAAGACCAAGGACCAGGAGACCAGGACCAAGGACCAAGACCAGACCAAGACCAGGACCAAGAGGACCAGACCAGACCAGGACCAAGACCAGGACCAGGGACCAAGACCAAGGACCAGGGACCAGGACCAAGGACCAGGACCAGACCAGGACCAGACCAGGACCAAGACCAGGACCAGGACCAAGACCAGGACCAGGACCAGGACCAAGACCAACCAGACCAACCAAGGACCAGG